GTTAAAAACGTATGGTTTTTCAAACAGGCATCAGTTTTTACACAGTTAAAAACGTGTGGTTTTGAAACAGGCATCAGTTTTTACACAGTTAAAAACGTATGGTTTTTCAAACAGGCATCAGTTTTTACACAGTTAAAAACGTGTGGTTTTTCAAACAGGCATCAGTTTTTACACAGTTAAAAACGTATGGTTTTTCAAACAGGCATCAGTTTTTACCACAGTTAAAAACGTATGGTTTTTCAAACAGGCAACAGTTTTTACACAGTTAAAAACGTATGGTTTTGAAACAGGCATCAGTTTTTTATCATTATTTTTTTACTTTTCACTTAGTTGGGGGGGCTCCTTTAATTCAAAGATATTGGGGCAATTGCACTCATTTGACCCCTTCCTTCTAATCTGACATGTATTGTTGAGACAGAAATACCAAGTTGGTATATTCAACGTGTAATATTGAGACAGAAACACCAACTTTCTAGTTTCAACATGTATTGTTGAGACAGAAATACCAAGTTGATATATTCAACGTGTAATACTGAGACAGAAACACCAACTTTCTAGTTTCAACATGTATTGTTGAGACAGAAATACCAAGTTGATATATTCAACGTGTAATGTTGAGACAGAAATACCAAGTTGATATATTCAACGTGTAATGTTGAAACAGAAATACCAAGTTGTTATATTCAACGTGTAATGTTGAGACAGAAATACCAAGCTGATATATTCAACGTGTAATGTTGAGACAGAAATATCAAGTTTATAAATTGTTTAATAAACAATGATAAGCGTGAAATTCAATATTACACTAATAAAAAAATATACAAGTTAAGAGCTATTCCACAACAACACAAAACTAATATGCTTGAGTTTGAAATAAAACCTTACTGGTGGCTTCATGCTTTGCTCTGCAACATATCGAAGCTGGTGAAACTGAAGGGGAGGCATCCTGAGGTGTTCACTTTCCTAAAAAATATAACTCTGTTAATAAGTACCATTTATAACAAAATATTTTCTTTAAACAACAAAGTTTGATATTTTTCTATTAAATTATGAAAAAATATATGTTCATTGATTCAAAATGCTTTTTCTAGTAATATTTGATAATTTATTTCTGCTAAGTGATGAAGAAATCCAAGTAATTGTGTAACGTTTGATACATACGTCAATGAAACCATATGGGATTGGGATATTAAATCCTGGATAGTCAACAAGCTTCATGGGATCATACTGAACTGGAAAAAACAAAACAACGTTTTTAACTTCTCGTTACATCTCATTTATTCAAACGTAACACACAAATCTTTTTCTAAGAATCAGTATCATTTAGAAAGTCACACACTAACAAATTCAGTAGGGCCTAATGCAACAGACAAACGTGTAAGTACTATTATACATGTATAATGAGTTTAGGATTTTTACCAACACTTGAAAAAAACTGTCAAATTTAACACTAACCATGTGGTAAAGTTTGAGAAAACCTGAAACCTATTTATATTAATTACATTTGAAAATAGTTTAAAATGTTTTCATATTATAAAAATAATCTCATTAAAGTCGTTTATTACAGTAATATAATGAATTATTCATTAATTTCATCCAACCTTTCAATGAGTCGACATCAACCTCACCATCTTCAATGTTTTCATCATGATGAACAGCTAAATGAAAAAAAAGATGCATACATATAAAACTTTTAATGTATACCTTTAGACCACTTTTACAGTTAATAGAGCATGCTGATGTAGGTTGTGGTGTTAAACATTCATGTATCTCAACAATTAAGTTGAAGTGATCTCAGACTTGTCGGGGAACCTTGTCGTACCAAGTTTATGATGTAAAAAAACAACACTGTTTGAATTCCAATCATATTCTCCTTGTATTTTACCAGTTGAAGTAAATTATCTTGTGTAATATCAGTATTACATACAATATTGATGTAAAAACATAGATATTCGCAATCTGATCAGATCGTCATGTTACCCTTGTTCAAGTCATGAAGGAGTATGTCTCAGCAGGAGAGTAGTTCATAATCTGGATGTCAGATTTCATGTGCCACTGCTAAGTTAAAGAAAGACTTCTCATCAAGTAATTGAAATCTGAACAATCAAACTGGCTACTTCGGCAAAGCCGATAATTGTGTAAAGATAACGGAGAGCCATTTGTGACCATCAGAGTCTCAATTTATAAAACGTGAGCTCCGAATTCTTCAGTTATCTACAAACCAAACTCTTTATCAAAGTGTCCAAACCAATCAGAGTAGGCTCTTCTCAGATCAGAGTAGGCTATTCTCAGCTCTTGAATGTATATATTTCAAATGCACGACATATTTCAGATGGTGGCGTAAACAAAACGTCAAAAGTGATGAACTTGTCAGTTAAAAAAAAAAAGTATTAGCAGTTATGCAAAAAAAAAAAAGGACTATTTTTAAATTACAAAGTTGAGATTTGTTTATAGATCTCACTTACGTGAGACATGATTTTAGTACAAATAAAAACAGTAGCGTATAACACTAACACCATCATTAAGAACTAAAGTAAACAAGTTTTATTTCTAATGAGGAAAACAATTATATTACCAAAATCCTCCAGATTTAATTCTTAATAACGTGCAAATTATGTAAGATACCGACCTTTACCATCTGATCCATACATCATTATTCCTGAACTTTCAATCTCTGCTTCTTTCAGCCAGCCTGGAGGGTAGCCCAAGATTCTCATCCGATAAATATACTGGGGGAGTTGATTGGGTAGCAAGTCAAGTGCTTGTCGAAGTTCGTTACTGTTATTTTAGAAAGTAGAGAATATAGACTTAAATACAGGAGAAATGAGGCCTTTTACAAAATGTGTCATTTTTATACAGATGCTTACTATTTTTATACACCTAACATCTTACAACAAATAGTAGAACTACACCATCACATCGTAACTAAGTAAATATATGTATATAAGCCACTATGTCTAGATATATTTTCTCTATTTCAAATGTTGTACAAATAACAAATAACCGCAATAGAACAAGCACACTCATAATAACTTTTTCATGAAAAACAAGCATCTTGACCAGTACAGTAGAATCTCACTCAGGAGAGGTTATACAGATTTCATGTATAACAAACAATAACATATAATATGTTTAATTTGTCTGTTTTGAATTTTGCGCAAAGCTACACTACAGCTATCCGCACTAGCTGTCCCTAATTTAGCAGTGTAAGACTAGAGGAAAGGCAGCTAGTCATCACCACCCACCACCAACTCTTGGGCTACTCTTTTTACCAACGAATAGTGGGATTGACTATCACATTATAACGCCCCCCCACGGCTGAAAAGGCGAACATGTTTGTGTGACGAGGATTCCAACCAGCAACCCTTAGATTGCAAGTTGAGCACCCTCACCACCTGGCCATGCCGGGCCTACATGTTTAAATAAAACACCAACTCCATTACAGTGAGAACACAACTCAATTACTGATTAATTCGACTAGTGATTCATGTTTGTATTTATAACTTATTATAGAAACTGCATTACCAGAAGAGTTAAAAATAACAGTGCTTCTGGTTTAAAGTACGACAATGCATCCTCTCTCTCTCTTATATGAATATTTCAAACATTTTTATGTTTTTCAAATATTATAATATTGACGTTGAATTTATATTGTTTTTTTTCCCACCTTTTTTTTCATGTGATTCAACTGGATTTTATTTGTTTCAGATAAACAGATAAACCACAGTTGTCTTGACTGGTGTCACAAAATGTTCTGATAAGTTTGGTAGAGAAATTTACGTGGACCCCCTGAATAATCGAGTTTAACTGAATAAGCAATCAGACAAACACTTTGATCTTGGCATCCACTTCAACTTTACCACCATAATGCTGTGAATGAGGGCTCATACAGAAGAGGTTTGTAGCAAAATATATGAAGCTGGTGACAAATCAAAGTATTTAATGCAGTGTACAGGATGGGTAAGTACAGGGACAAGCCATGCCCCCATTTATAGCATTACATTTAAGCCTATCAGTGTATATACCTTAGCTATATATGTTTATTTTATGGTGACTGTTCACATTTTATATCAAGTGTTAAGTATCCTTATAAATCCACCCATATTATTAATGCAGAATTTTCCAAGAAATTAGTAAATTCCATTGACTGCGAATGTTTCTAAATACTTTAATACAACTATTATTGGGTAAAGCCCCCCCCCCCAAAAAAAAAACACACAACAATATTGTTTTAAATTATCCACAGATGTTAAATTTTCTATTGATGTAAGTTGTGGCACCATTGTCTGGTGGTATTCACTTTCTGATATATACACAGGATTCTTGAGTACAAG